AACAAATAGTTTAAACAATTGAGCTGTCCATAGAGATTTATGTTATTGCATCTTTCGCCAAACCATAACTTTACGCTCTCGTATCTCTCAAAATCCAATTCTTCGACTTACAGTGCAATTTATTACTTTTCCTAATCAATAAGTCAAAATTTTACGGAAAAGCTTACGGTTTTTCCGTATGGTTTCCGTAGAAAATACGGAAAAATTACGGTACATTCCGTGATAAAATTTTCTTGACAATTCCGTTCAAAATTCCGTGGAAATTTCTAACAGTGGCAGTTGGTTCCGTCGGATCATCGGATGTGCTCAGCTGCACAGAAGCCTTAGGTGTGGTTGGCTCCCGTCGGACCGGCCGATGTGCTTGTCTCCACAGAGTATCAGAGTTCGGAAAAACGCCCCAGTGCGACCGACCAGCGCAACCACGCGATGTCGCCTGTGTAGCGCTACTCCAGGCCACGCTTCTTGACTTGAACCGGCAGCTGATTGCCGATGTCATCGTCGGTATCACACAGAAGATGCACCACGGGGCCGGGCTCAGCCAATCAGAGCCTGCCGCCACGTGCACCCATTGGACCGCTGCCAGCGACGGCCGGTGCGTCAAGCGGCGAGCAGTGCGTTCGACCACACGAGCCGCTGGTCGGAGGCTGGCAGTGACCGAGCCGGTGGGCACGATGGTCGGTCGCACTGGGACGCTTTTCCGACCTCTGCAGGGTATGCAGAACTGGTTTGATCCGTCTGCACATCGGTTGTGCTAGGCTTCACAGGTGGTTCAGCTCTTATTTACTTTTGTTGGAGCATCAGATGTGGAAGGCTCTGCAGGAATGTCAGATGCGGTTGGCTCTAGCGTAACTTCGGATGTGCCAGGCTCTACAGAAGCTTCGAGTGTGTCTGGCTCGGCCAATGCGCAGAGAATTTGAGATGGTTTGGACTCGACTCTAGAAACAATTGAGCTCAAACTATGGGGACGCCGGACAAGTCTCCACAGTGCTGGGGCAGGACGTCGACGATTGAGTCGACGGGCGGTTGCGGGCGGTGGCGGGAACAGCAGCTCCGTGCAAGCCGCTAACGCAGGAACGGGGAGGGGGGGGGGGGGGGGGGGCCTTGACGGGCTTCTGATCCGTGTATAAGTGTTGGATGTTTTCAAATATTACCTTTTATACATGCCGGCGGCTACTTCATTGCTTGATTCTTCGGAAAGTCCTGTCATCATAAACTATAGAAAGCTATCGAAAACTATAGGAAATAGAAATATTTTTTAGAGGTCGAATTGTGCGTTATGTTCACAAATAATTAATTTGATCTTACCGAACTATCAGTAAAGTGGATTGTTCGCTTATCAACCTATGCTGGTGAGAATTTCGGCGATCACAGGGAAATTCAAGAGACGCAAAAGGAACCTCTGGTAAAAATTTAAAAGTTTTAACGCGCAGGGTCTGGTCTCTCGATACAGATTTGTACCGAAAATTGCGAATATCCGACTTTGGCAGCCCGTAGGCTGGTCATCCTGCTGGTTAAGACTTCGGCGATTACAGGGTAAGTCAAAAGACCCAAAAGGTACATGTGGTAAAAATTTGGAAGTTTTAACCACCAGGGTTCGGCCTCTGAATAGAGATTTGTGCCAAATTTAACAAAGTCCTAAAGTAGCGAATTTCGGACTTTGGCGGCCCGTAGGTTGGCTCCCCTGCTGGTAAAAACTGTTTTTTGATGTCCGCTAATGTTTGTTGACGTTGTGGGAGCGTTTGTAGCGTTTTGAATTATTACTTTTTGAATTTATGAGGTGTTTTTTTCTATCCAGAAAGTTTTTTGGCCAGAATTAGGCGGGTCGATATAAAAAAAAAATATTCCTAGAGCGACAAGCCATATGATTAGAACTACAAGGCTATTGGAGGCTCAAAATGTCCCACTTTGGCTTCAATAATGCTTACATGTATGTTCCTACTTTTGGTTCTGAACCGCTCAGACAGTCGCCGGACCTGCGAAGAGCGTGACGCGCAGTACCATTACAATTTGCGAAGGTGCAGTGCTTGCTTCTGGCGCCCCTCTACGACAACCCAAATGAGCACCCATCAGCTTTAATGTGTGAACAAATAGGTTTTGACCCGGGGAACACAAAATGTTTTTTCATCAAAATCCAAAAAGTCGAAATTTGAAATTTTGAACGTTTAAATGTTCAAAATTGAACATTTAAAAAAATTTCAACATTTAAAAAACATTACGATTTTTAAAATAGCCATTCTTTGATGAATAATTTCAAAAAAAGTTTTTTAAATTATGTTGAAGATTACCGGACGCATTTGAAAAAAGGTCTGCACCAAAACCGCCGCAACATAACAAAATCGCAAAAAATCAGAAAAACCCCTCGGAAAACAGTTTTAGGGCAGTGTCAGGGACCTCTTTCAGCATGTTTTGACAATTCTTTTTTTTTTTTCGATTTCCGAAGACTACTCGTCCACGAGCGTGTCGAGTTGACATGACTTCATTCTTATTCTTATACAATCAGTTACACTGAAAAGCTTTGGGGATCCGCGTCCGCATGTCGTGTTTAGTTCGAAATGAATGATCAGCCGAGGGGGAACCAACTTGGAAATTTGGTGAACTGTGAATATATTCAAATATTCAATGTCACTGAATACCAGTGAATATCACTGAATACCAGTGAATATTCACTGTGGTTGTTGATTAATATCCTTGAATATTGATGAATATCGATGAATATCGATGAATATCGATGAATATCGATGAATATTTTGAATATCTTGTGAATATTCGCAAATATCACCTGAATACCTATTAGATATTAACCAGCGGGTGCACCGTGAATAGTCGAAGTTGATGCCTCCTCGTGATCAGCATCATTTCTTAGAAAATTGTCATGATGCAAAGCGTACTCGTAAAGACAAGCGGCTTTAAGTGGTGTAGCATGGTAGTGATTGCGGCGAAGGATCCGATGCCTATAAATATGTGGCAGTACCTTCAGGATAGCCACAGGTGAGCTATCGAACCCCATTTGCTACCATGTATAAGTTCGTTTTCACTGCTGTGCTTTTGGCTCTTGTCGGTGTCTCCATCGGTAAGTTAGAGTAAACCTTTATGGATTGGCAAATCAGGCAGTATATTTCAGAATGCACGAATATGCACAATTTCAGTTATTACTATGTATAATTTGTATATCCTCTGTTAAAAATTATCTGGACTTTCAGTAGGTATTTTACTGATACGTGACTGTGGATTTTAATTTTGGACCATTGCACAATTTTTCATCACGTTTTAGACTGAAATTTCACACTGTATGATCTAAATCAGAATTCCAGAACAGCATTTCTTAAAATTGGGTAAAATTGGGTTTTGCAAATTTCAAAATAGAAGTGCATGCTTTCAATAAACCTTTAGTTCTAAATCAATGCGGCGTGTGGTCTTTATATAGTGACGATTTTCCCAAACCCTTTATTTCAAAGGTCTGCCCCCTTAAACTATGTCCCTAATGAACAAAGATATCACGCAAAAAGACGCATCAATAACATTCGATACAACCCACTGCGACCACATTTTCTTAACCGTGGGTCCTTTCGCAGTTTACAAGAATTGTTCACGTATTTTTAGGGAAATGGAAAAACTTTAAGCAACTCTCATATTCGAGGAAACGTCCTCAGATCACGCCGCACACTATGAGTCAAAGTTTTCCCT